CTTATACAGAAGCCAGGAGGTTTTGGACAAGAATTAGAGAGGGAGATAGAAGATAGACCGTGGGTTATAAAAAAAGAAAGGTGAAAAGTGAAGCGAGTGACACAAGAGTGTTAGAGAAAGAGCAACAAACTTACCCCGTGTTCTGCAGTTCCCAAGTAATAATATTAAGGATGATCTCTTCCTTTTTTCTTTCCCTTTTTTTCCTTTTTTCTGTCTATTATTTTATTTGGGGAGAATAAAATGATAATGTATGGCTGTGCTTTTGTTTCTTACGCGCAATCCCACCGAATTGAGTCGTTAGACTTCTTCCCTTTCTGTTCTCTCGTTTCTTTTTCCCTTTGGCGCCTCTAGACTTTTGGGCTTTTGCTGCTTCGGCTGATGATCGACCACGCAAGGAGCCACACTGATTTCTGGCCCGAAACGGAAAAGAGGCGTTCCCCCAGAATCGTTGGACTGCACTTTAGTCTCGTCGGGAAGAGTCTGTGATAGTACTCCACAGTGTAGTCAGTCGACTCCCCAGTGTCCAGGTTATTCTGTGGTTAAGTCGGCGTGGAGTGAGGGGAAACGCACAGCCCGGTGATCACGATCACCACCGACCACGAACTCGATTGCAGGCCAGAAGGGCCGATGATGCGGGGATTACTGAAAGAGAGGAATTTCGCTAAGGGTCGATAGACAACACCTGAAGGAAGAGAGACTGGGGGGTATGCTATGGTAGGTACAAGGCAATCACTCCAGCGAAACAGAGTTGCAGGATGGCAAATTCCCAAGAACCTAAACAGAGAGGTGACGGAATAGACACGATGTCAGTGAGGCGGTGCGGAACAGTTTATTGATCGTTCCTTGGGTGACATGAAGTCTTGGTATTATTGTCATGAGACAAGTCGAACCTCCTAATAGTTTGGCAGTTTCTGCTCGGGCCCAGAAGATAGACCCTCGTGTTATATTAGGTATCATAAATCTATGGTTGGGAAATAACTCTACGATGACGCGAAATACCGCCGAGCCACCACTCCAGGTCGCTGAATATGGATCCGGCGAGCCGGCAGACCGGCAGTGGGCATAGGTAGGTACACGTACGATCCACGAAAAAGAGTTCGGATCATGCGCAGAATGAAGTCCAATCACTAATCGTCCTTCCATTTGTAACCTAAATTCCATCGGCTTTCATTTGCGCGGGTTTTCGGGGCAGGTTCCTAACTATTCATATCTCAAGTCGCCTAGTAGTTCGCAGGTAGACTTCCTGGTTTTGTCAATGTAGATCGTGCGCAAAGTGCTACATGATCATGATGCTTTGTTCAGTAAGCCGTCTTTTCCCATATGATACGCCTCAGCGTTAAAAACTTCAAGGTGATGCTAAGCCTTTGATGCTGCTAAAGCCCCGGCGCTAGTTTGTCCTGGTATAGAAGGATGACGTCGTCGAGATGATGTCCATAAGCAGGTATTCCGACGAGGTACAGATTTCCATATTTGTTGCCTCTTTTTCTCTCTAAATTGGGGTTTTCATTGTTGTTGTTCTCCTTATCACTCTGCAGCTTATCAGCGAGGAAAATCAAGATATGACAGTATCTCATCATTGACCTAAATGCGTGGTCTCAAGATTTCAGACGAATCCCACCTGTCTATCTCTGCCAGTGCAATGGGATCAAATTAATCAGTAATATCATCATTATTCTGTACCTGTGGCACGCCCCACATGAACGATTCAACTCTCTAAAACCCATACTTGGCTGTTCTTGCGCCACTAATCAGATGGTTAATATACTGTTATGAGCAATGGATCCTTCAGGAATCAATGATAAGAACAAAGCTGAACTCGAGTGACTAGCCATCTTTGTGATAAAACCTTCTCTAGTTGAATATCTGCTTTACTAATTACTACCGGGTCCTAGAACAGGCTATGCTCCTTGATGACTTCACACCACTAGATTCGTGCCTAATAAGCCCAACCCAAGAACCCTAATACCTCCGGGGTACTGTAGAATAAAGTCCAATATGAGGATCGCCGGCAACCGAGGCTGGTGGGGATCCCGGTGCCGCTGATGACCTCATGATTTGTTCTTTTGCAGATTTCGTCCAGACGAGAGTGGGAATAGACTCCGCAAATGAAACGTGCCGCGGAGGTTGGTCTGCGAACTCTTTGGATCTGGCCTTCAAGTGAAAATCGTGTATACGGCTTCTATCATCACCCGCGGCTGACCTCCCCACCTCTCCCTCACACTCATATCTTCAGATGAGGAGGTGGGACTTGTCTAGCCCTTAGTCTGTACATTATCCGACACAATTTTAGCAGTATCAGGTATGGGGTCACGAAACAAGTCCTCCTGCCTAAATATAGGTTTGAGGCCCAGACGCCAAGAGTCAGCCGAACTCGCCAGATACAAGATAGGGCTGATGATACCAAGGCTGCTTGTAGTTCGCTACGAGTGAAATGAGTAGATCAATACGTCATTGTTATGGTTAATTATCATGCTAGTTAGTCTATTTGCAACAGAATGTAGGCGGAGTGGAGTGCGGAGTGCGGAATGTTAGTCTGTTACACAGTTCCCCTTGCATGGATCCTCGTTGACATCAAGATAATTTTATGGAGCTATGGATGTCAACATCCCTACCGTTGGTATCATATCAAGAATGCCCCTCTCTATGCTGCGAAATGGTGACTACCCGCGATGCATTGATCCTGGAAGCTACTAAGCATATGTGCCCCGTAGATATGCACTGAGAATGTGTTAACGCTTCTTCAATTGTTTTTCAACGACTGCGAATTAAGTGAACCAGTTATCATCTAGCTCGTCGATATTCATCAGGTCGTCCCCTAGCAGATTCTGGTCTCCAAGCCCTTCTCCTCCGAAGTTTTCGTTCTCCATGAATAAATCATCGAAGCTTGATTCCCCTGGCGCCATAACATCATCCGCGTGGTTGCTCATCTGTCCTCCCGCTTGCTGGTCCTGGCCTGGAAATCCACCTGTTTTCTGGAACTCTAAATCGAATGCATCGCCTCCCGTAGGACCATTGCCGATATTATCCCCATCTTTAGAGAACATCGACGCCATAGCGCCCGACTGATCGGTCTCCTGGCCGATATCGCCGCCGATACCTGTATTTCCAAGACTAGTGCCAGACAGGAAATTCTGATTCCCAATATCATCGTCTCCAAAATCAAGATGGAGATCGAATTCATTGGGCCCACCCGCAGTGTCATTGAGCATGGAGTCGAAGTTGATTTCTGTAGTTCCAGGGACTGATTGATCAGGCGCCGATGACTGTCCTTCCTGCTTTTCCACCTTGACAGTTTTGCCTTCGGTCTCTTGCGACGGCTTATCCCCGGTGAGAGGCTCTTGCGCGGTAGTAGGCTCTTCGTCCAATTGGGACTCGAGTGGTTTCGTGTCTGGCACTTCCTCTATCTTTTGGGGCGGCTCTTGTGCGCCATCATTTTCCGACCTGTTGCTTGGCTCGTCCATAGCCACATCTTGAGCAGGCTGTACAGCTGCTTTCTCTGCTCTGATTTCCTCATAGTCTCTTTCGAGAAACGCTTTTGCGATAAACTGCCATCGGTCAATAGCTGTCCCGTTGAAGCACGAAATGCCGCAGAAAAGTCAACTTAGACACATACTATTTGCTCAGATAGGTCGTCGAGCGCAGCCTGGAAACGTTCGTGAGCCGCCGGGATCGTCTTTTTGAAACGAGCCCTGGCCTGCGTTGAGCCACCAGCTTGAAAAAATCGACCCATTTCAACGAGCTGTCAGCAGTCAGTATTATCGACCTACAAAGACAGCGAGAAGAGATGCCACATTACCGTCTGATTGACCATGGCTGTTAACACAGCAAGGGACTCTGGATTCGAATAATTTGATGTTTCCATGATGGCAAACGCTCCGATTTATCTAAAATGGACTGAAGATTTTTGTCCAATGATGGACACTACCTGCAGGGTGCGACATGGTTAGTTCGACACTGGCAGCATGCCTATGGTTCTCTTGTTTTTAGATATCTTGTCCCTGAGTCTAGCACAAACAACTGACAAAGACTACGCATTGATCGAAACAAATGGGGGTTTAAGATACATACAGGGACAAAAAATTCATTCGGTCAGAATATCATTTGAAGATCTCACCTTCAACTTCAATTTTCAGACCGCCCAATGTCTGCCTTCTGTGCTTGAGAGAATCTCGGCCCAAATCGAGCTCTTTCAAAAGGACCAAATAGAGTCAAGTTAAGCGCCCTCTCATGACCAGCGGCATCTATCCTGATACGCTAACTTTATCTGGACTAGCATGTCACCCACCCAAGCGGCTCTTTGCCAGTTGCCCATCCACTGTTTGGTCGTTCTTTTGCTCCAGCTGCTAGAAACTCCTCCCGTCTGGGCTAGTTAGTAAAGGTATGGTAGAGCATCTTACCTAGTAGCCTACCAAAAGATCATCACATCACATCTCTTCTTCTTCTTCCCCTGTTTCCATCTCATCTCACTCCTAGCTTTTTCCTCCATCGCTCTTCTGTTGGTGTCAAGATCTCTGTGATCTTGTTTTCCTTTTTTCTCTTTTTGTTTCGCTTTTCCCTTTGGCGCTTTTATTCTTCGTTGTCCTTCGTCTCTTTCCCCCTCTCCCGACAATCACTTGTGTTTGTCAAACCCGAATCTTAAGCTTTTTTCTATCACCCACGTCTAAAAACTTGTTGGGGCTGAGTGTTGAAAAGAGCCGTGTTCGAGTCGTCCTGACTTAACGTATTTAATTCATCACAAAGCTCCTTTCTGAGCGATTCTTTTCTTTTGAAAGACTGCCGTCTCTTCGATTCTCTTGATCTAGCGAATTCGTGCTTCTTTCGGTGCCTCGATCCCCGCGTCGCTTTCCGCCTTTCAACCAACATCGATTTTGTTGATTGCTAAATACTGTGCACCGTCGAGCAACAAACAGCGCATCCCAGCCTAACGCTTCCACCGCCGATCCACTTGTGCATTGTGTCGCTTAGCAGTTCTTGCTGATTTTGCCCTGTTGTCAAACACAATGGCCGAGAACCTGCCCACTTCTGGGTCTTCCACCCTCCCACCTCCGCCTCCGCAAGCATCTTCTGCTTCGGGTCAGCAGTATGATTCCTCTCAGGGCAACGGCCAAGCCAATCCTTCCCACATGCCACCCCCGCCTCGTCCGCCTGTCGTGATTCCCCAGAACACCAATCCTATCCCAACTGCTATGACGTCCCCGATGTCTGGGAACATGATGTCCCCGACCAGTGCTGGTGGATATGTGCGCCGGGCCGCCCCCGAACCAAACAAGAGAGCTCTGTACGTTGGAGGACTTGATCCAAGGGTGACTGAGGATATCCTGAAGCAAATCTTCGAGACCACCGGTCATGTCCAGAGCGTGAAGGTCATCCCCGACAAGAATGTAAGCTCTACCCTCCCTATTGCAATAATCCTTAAATACAATATTAACATTTTGAAAGTTCAACAGCAAAGGATACAACTACGGTTTTGTCGAATATGATGACCCTGGCGCGGCTGAGAGGGCTATGCAGACCCTCAACGGCCGCCGAATCCACCAGTCGGTATGCGTTTTTCAAATACTTACAAACTCGTCGCCTTGTCGTCCCATTACTGAGTATGATATAGGAAATTCGAGTGAACTGGGCTTACCAGTCGAATTCCACGAACAAGGAAGATACTTCTTCTCACTTTCACATTTTCGTCGGCGATCTAAGCAACGAAGTCAATGATGAGATCCTGCTCCAGGCCTTCTCCGCTTTCGGTTCGGTGTCAGAGGCTCGCGTCATGTGGGATATGAAGACTGGTCGTTCCCGTGGCTATGGCTTCGTTGCCTTCCGTGAACGTACTGATGCAGAGAAAGCACTGAATGCCATGGACGGCGAATGGCTCGGTTCGCGTGCCATTCGCTGCAACTGGGCTAACCAGAAGGGACAGCCTTCTATTTCTCAACAGCAGGCTATGGCGGCCATGGGCATGACTCCCACTACACCCTTTGGCCATCACCACTTCCCTACGCATGGGGTCCAAAGCTACGACATGGTCGTCCAGCAGACCCCACAGTGGCAGACTACATGCTATGTGGGTAATCTAACTCCGTACACTACGCAGAACGACCTTGTCCCTCTCTTTCATAATTTTGGATATGTGCTTGAGACGCGCCTTCAAGCAGACCGTGGATTCGCCTTTATCAAGATGGATACACACGAAAATGCTGCGATGGCTATTTGCCAATTGAATGGGTACAATGTTAACGGACGTCCTCTGAAATGCAGTGTACGTTTGTTCTCGCCTTTTTCGTTTTATATTCCAAGGCTACTTTTACTGACCGTTATAGTGGGGTAAGGACCGTCCTCCTACCGGCCAATTCGACAATTTCTCTGGCCAGCAACCCAATTCACCCTTCAACTCCAGTCCAGCTACATACTTCCCTCAATACGGTGGCCCTGGAGCTCCTATTACCCCTCAGGGTACGTTTCACTTTTTTTTTTTTTTTTTCCCCGAATAAATTGTTATAACGACTAATTTATTCTATCGTAGGCCCCACTCCTGCTGGGCGAGGCTGGGAGCAAGGGGGAATGACTGGCCAAGGATATGGCCAGGCCCCCCAGAATGCGAGCTTCGGCCGCGGACAGGCCACACCCAACTCTGGCTGGAACCAGCCAAACAACGGCAGCTTTGGAAATGGCTTTGGGGGCTACCAAGCGTAGCTTGTCTCTAGCCTGTAATGCTGTATATGGGCCTTTCGCAGCGGCCGAGCCAGATGATCGACAAGGTGCATAGCTATTTACAACAGCAATGGTGAGAGATTTGGTGTCCTTGTTTTCATTTCCAGTCCCTATCTCACGGACTATGCCACTTTCTGCTCTATACTTTCACCGCAACTCTCCTCTTCTTTCTCTCATTTCTATGGCTTTTCTTCTTCGTCTCACGATCGCCCTATGAAGTGGATTATCGAGCGCATGTTTCCCATTCTCGAGTGCTTCTTTTCAAATGAAATTTTGTGTGTTTACGTACACCAATACCCCAAGTCCACTTTGTTTGCATCAAGGCCCTGCTCTGTTCTTTGAATGATTCTATGCAGATTGTGAGCGAAGCTTTTTGGGACTTCTGATTCAAATTTTCTTCGGAACAAACGAAAAGTACCTATCATCACCTACCTAGTCCTCGACTTGATACCTTTTGACTATCATCTTCATAAATTACCTACTTCTGGGCGTGTATCGTATCTTATCCATCTATGCTTGTCTCCTCTATTGGATGAATATGTATTTCGAGCCGATTCAGAAAGCAGTTTCTTCTTGATAGTGCTATTTTGCTCTCGTTCCTTCAGCTGCCACGTTCCTTTGGTCGGGTGTCCCGCACACTCGTACAACAATTATGATCATGCTCTTCATGCAATACAGATGACTCAACATGGTGCTTGCTTTTTGTGATGTCTTTTGTGAGCCGCCATCTTTCACCCTGACTCCTATCTCTGTCTCTGGCGCTCTGGAAGATATACCTTACTCTCGTCTTATGAAATACTTGTGGCCTTGAACCATTCCGTCTATCTCGAATAAGTGAATGAGCCGTGTCTGTGGGTTGTAGCTGGCTCTTGTATTCGAATATGGCTTTACACTTCTGCCAAACCTAAGGAGGGCTGCTCCCTTAGGATCAATCTGTCCCCTTGTCGACCTTCTACTCACGTTTCGAAGTACCGTTTTGGGGATGCATCTGGAACGTTGATCTGGTTCGAAGTGCGGAGAAGGTTGGCGCCGGAAGTCTTGGCCTTAGGCCCACCACCTCTGCCTCCCGCACTCGCCTTTGCATCACAACTTTAATCCACCGAATGGAATCTCCACCCAGAGTGGCCCCTGAACGGGTACAAATTCGCACGACGAAGGATTGAATGTTAGTATATTTACAACCGGGTCACTCGTGCCCGGCTTGCGCCAATGGAAGATGCAGGCGACACTAAAAACGTGACACTATCGCTCGACAACGATGACCCGCTTCCTGGAAGGGCACGCTCAGGAAGCACAAGCAACGGACACAAGCGCAGCTCGTCCGGCTCGCTGCTGTCGAAATTCTCTTTTCTCCGAATGAACACCGGGACGCACCAAACTACCGAACGATCGCATCCAGGCGGTGATAAGCACGATGCAGAGGAATTCAATTCCGGCTTGCAGGGTGGGAGGGCGATGTCGAGCGCTTTACAACAACGAAGAACGCGAAGAAGAAGGGGCTCTTTAAGGAAAACTGCGCTGCTGGGGACGCGATTCGACCATCGAGATAAGAAGACTACTCGGGCGACGATTGACGTGTTACGAGCGGATGGCAACGCGCCACCGCGCGATCAGACTACAAACATACTGGCGCCATCCGTAGCCGATTCGGGCTCAACACAGCATCAATCTACGTCTCTTGCAGCGGCTCAAACAAATGAGAACAATGCCAACTGGGGCCTCGTGAATGAGCAGCGGGGAACTCCGACTGTCTCTGCGTCTCAGCGGCCGCGGAAGGGTCTCTCGACGGAGAACGTGCTTGGAGACGAGATTGGCACGGACGATGAGGATATGATTGCCTTACCTCGCGTCAAGAATGCCAAGTCTGCCATCGGTTCTACCTTTGGAAACTCCTCTACCAGCAGTACCAGCGGTCCTGTGGGATTACGTATACCGACGCCTCCGTCGAGTTCGGACTCCTACTATGCTCTGCCGACAGACGCGTCGTATAGAGCTGTGCATCGCACTAAGTCGCCCCTAGCGACTCATGTTGTTGACCTCAAGCCCAGCCAAGAAATTATCTGGGATTACTCCGAGACCGAGTGGTGGGGGTGGATCATCTTAATCGTGACTTGGCTGGTTTTTGTGGTGGGAATGGGCAGTTGTTTCGGTGTTTGGAGTTGGGCTTGGGATGTTGGTGAGACGCCCTATGCACCGCCAGAGCTGGAGGATGATCCTACATTGCCCATTGTGGGGTACTATCCTGCCTTGATTATTTTAACGGCTGTCATGTCGTGGGTGTGGGTTGTTGTTGCCTGGGTGGGCATGAAGTATTTCAAGCATGCCAATATCACTGGGGATGATACATGAGTGCTTCAAATCCTCTGCTTAGAGCTTAAATGACCGCTTGTACCCTATTGCATACCGACATTAAATTCAAACAATTGATCCGAAATAATAAAGTTCATGACATATCCAATAAAGAAGAATTTCCCCCAATCATCCTCATCTAAACCCAACAACAGCCAACAGAGGTATCTCATTGCGCCCATTGTGACATCTCGAAAATAAATGCGTTGACAACTCCATTCCTTACCAATCACGCAAGTCCCAAATTTCCGGACACGCAACTGATTATCGGATCAGTGCGACAGTGCGCACTGGTTGGATAACCGCACATCCAAATCGTCCAATCTTGTGCTCTTGCCACTAACGGTGGGATCCTTCAAAACCTCTGCGTCTTGAGGCTGAACCGTTGTCATAGGCGCAGTGCTGACAAGGCCTTTGGAGACGGCGTAGCATGAAGACCGATCCTGGTTGATGTCCTCAGTGTAGAATTCATCCAAAATGGGATGTAGAAGGACAGACTGCTTGTGGATCGTGACTATTGAATTTGCAGGGACGGATACCCAATTATCTAGAGGGACATATTAGCTCGAGTATCTCACAGTAGGTGAACGGAGCGGCTCACGGCGTTCGAATGTGATGGGCTCACTAGCTACCAAAACAATATCTGCTCCTTTATCGTGCCGCTCCATCTTGAAGTGGCCTTTGTCTTTCCCTTCTTTCCATTTGGTCCCCGACGAGAAATACAGACTAGCGGGTTCGTCCGTTTTGCTGCTGATATAACGGGTACAAACCACAGTATGGCCGTCCGTCACGGCAAAATTGAGTAAACTGCGAGTCTCCACCCCGGAAACATTATATTTCTTAGGAATATCGCGGATGAACTCATTGATCTTTGCGATGGTCTTGACCATCACTTTCCGCAGTAGCGCCTGCCCAAAACCCTCCGGCCCGGGATTCGAGCTTGGATCAACCCCTTCCTTCTCCAAAAGGTCAAGGAATAGCGCAAATGCCCATTCACTATCTGTCCCGCCTTTTACGCCGAGGTACCACTTGTCCGCGAGCGAGTCGGCTAGCGTGCGCTTGATGTAATGCCAGCCGCCGACGTTGCCGTTGTGCATCCACATCAGAGTCTGATGCTGGAATGGGTGGCAGTTAGTATCGGAGAGTGTCCCCTCCGTCGTGGCGCGGACGTGCGCGAAGATGAGGTTCGAGCATGTCTTGGAAGCCAGGCGTTCCAGGTTCTCGCAGTTCCAGGCGGGGAGTGTGGAGGTGAATATGCAGGGCTCTGGGCCTAGCTTGGGGTCGGTATAGAACCCTACGCCGAACCCATCGCCGTTGACAGGTCGGCGATTATCCTGAGGTCCAAGACGTCAGCTATGCTTCGTCAAACAGAGAAGGCAAACCAGAACAAGTCTGCTCAATGTTGAGCTAGAACTTACTAAGCGTAAGCGAGAATCATAGGACTGTGTTAATATAGAGTGACTGGGTTCTGTCACCAATTTGCTGAGACGAATCTCATGTCTGCCCTTGTATACCTGGCGAAGAAGCTGTCAGCCAAATAGCATGGTATAAGGAGTTGATACTTGATCATACCAGGAAGCGGCACATGGTCCACAATGTTGAGTAAATAGCTCTAAACAGTAAAGAGAAAGCTGTAAAAGACGTCCAGAATGAAGTTCGACTTAATAGAGCTTCAGACCATTTACAAGCGTCTATTTGGCTCTATGTCGCGAATGCACAGGCCGATGATGAAAGCCAGACCTTGACTTCCACCATTCGCTTGCACAACAACCAACTGCAGCCCTTGCGTTCAACAGAAGTGTGTGACAAAGAGGATACCTACTCGACAACCCAGTATATTCCTTAAAGAACATTCAAAGGTAACACGTTCATGTATCCCTCATCGAGCCACACGTGACTCACACCGACAGTCTGCGGTGTACGAAGCGGCCAAAAGCGCAAGTCACGGGAATTTAGTAGTGGAGATTCGCCTTCATCGCGGGACGGTTGTTGATTACATCAACCGTCATTCAAGTTACCCAGCTTTCGACGCAAAACCGCAAGTATCATCGCCGTCCGCAGCTTGCAGCTCGGAGATGATAAGTTATACTCTCCCGGCTGATCTGTGGTGTATGAGTGTTCAAAAGCCATGAGCGGGAGAATACTCTCGCACCGTCTTGTTCCGCTGTTGCGGACGGGCCTTCTAGCCCGCCATGTCCACAATGCTGGCTCAAGAACCGGAGGGCTCCTACGCTCAGAGGGAGGTGCTGCACTTCGAGGCCGTGCTTGGCCTGTTGGAGCAAATGCAATTCACAATGTTCCTGCCGTGCGAACGATCTCTTTTGCACGGATGCTTCCGAAGCTTGCTTTGAAGATGGTCAGACTACCAGCGATGTTTGGAGGAGCTATGGTCGCAGGCTTTGCCTATATTCAGTACCAGGCTACCCGTGCGTCTTCGATCACTAATTGCTAATGAGTGATGCGACTGACTGACAACCTTTATAGAGGCAGGAAATTACGCAATAGATATATTCAAACGAGCGGGCGAGACGGCTGGTGGCGCTGCCTCGGGTTTCTTTCAAGAATTACAAAACGTTGCGGAACAGACTCACCGCGGCTGGCAGAAAACCACTGAAGACATCGAAGTCCCGGAA